ATGGTTTATTTTTCTCAAAGTTCAAGGAAAAGCATCTTTTTTGATCATCACATTTCTCAACTTCCAAAACTTCACCTTTTTTAATGCAATACAAGAGATTGGCAATAATGAGTACTCTCCTACACTTTCAGAGTCACAAATCACTTCTATGCGCACCACCTTATTGGATTTTCAAATCAGCCTGTGGAAAATGCTAACACCATTACAGAAAGATATATGATGTGCTTGCTGTGCCATTGTTTATAAGAGACAAAAAAAAAATGGAAACAACCCGAAAGCCAGTGAGAAGATGTCTAAATATGTTATGGGCGTTTGTGCAACTGAGAATTGTATAGTTATTAGGAAGACTTGGGGAGATCTATATGCATTGACTTAGAGAGATAGCTACAAACTACTTTTAAATTTTAAAAAATCAAGTTCAGAATCATAATTATGAATCGTCCCTTTCTATTTTTTAACACTTACTGTGGACTAGGGAATTTATTGTTTTTTATACCCTATGTGTGTTTGTGTGATTTATAAGCACAAAACAAGTAACCACAAGGATGTACACTAAACTGTTAATAGTTGTATGTATGGTGTGGACTAGAATTAGAAAGAGGTGGTAGGGGGGCATCACTTTTTTTACTTCTATATTTTAATTTGTTAAAAAATTATGCTTCCGGCTGGGCGCAGTGGCTCACACCTGTAATCCCAGCACTTTGGGAGGCCAAAGCAGATGGATCACGAGGTCAGGAGATCAAGACCATCCTCGCTAACACGGTGAAACCCCGTCTCTACTAAAAATACAAAAAATTAGCCTGACGTGGTGACATGCACCTGTAGTCCCAGCTACACTGGAGGCTGAGGCAGGAGAATCACTTGAACCTGGGAGGCAGAGGTTGAAGTGAGCCGAGATCATGCCACTGCACTCCAGCCTGGGTGACAGAGCGGGACTCCAACTCAAAAAAAAAAAATATATGCTTCCATACTGTTAAGAAAAAACTATTTTAAAATCACAGCCCTGAGATGAATTTTAAGGAGAGATCATCTTACGCATTTTTCAGAGGAAACAATTGATCCCAGTGATGTGGGGTAACATTATCATGTGGCTTAAAATTGCTGAAACATCTGTTTGAACATGTATGTATGCTTGTGCACAATTTTTAAAAATGAATTTAAAAAAAAATAAGTAACAGGAAAAAGGCTCAACAGGTGGACTGATCCTTGTTGAATGAGGAGGAAATAGAGTCCTGCACAACCAGATGACCGGAGCAGGCTGATGCATCAGAAGCCTGATCCATCAGCTACTACTGCATCTTGCAGGCTAGCCAGTTTCATCCCAGGTCATGACTGACTCAGGACCTAACAGTTCCCTGTTTGCCCCCAGGCTGCGAGGAAGATTTACTGGCTGCCAGTGGCAGCTGTTGGTGCAGCAGGGACACAACGTCCACCCCTACAGGGCAGTTCCGTTCCTAACAAGGAAAATTCACTTTACACGTGCTTTAGGGGAAATGTCCTGGAATGGAGCCAGAGCCAGATGGGCTCTGAGCTTATTAAAAGCATGCTTGTTACCAGAAAACATTTGCAAATATGTGTGGGTATTTTTGTGTGTGTGCATGCATTTTACACACACGCGAACACATATCCCTCTGAAATCCCTTCAATTAAGATTGTCTTCCAAATTGTTCAATATACTTTGCAGTTTACCCTTATGTAGGGGCAAGTGCTATGCCTCCTACCTTTTAATGTTGGATTATTGTTCTGATTCTTGTTTTTCCCTCCTGCCAGGTGCAGCTCATCCACTATAACCATGAGCTATATACAAATGTCACAGAAGCTGCGAAGAGTCCAAATGGATTGGTGGTAGTTTCTATATTTATAAAAGTAAGTCTCTTGCATTCCTTCATTCTTCTCACCATCCCCAGCTCAATCAGAATACCAATTTATGGTCTCTGTTGGAGTTAGAAATATTAAAAGGGGTACTATCCATGCCTAAGAAAACTACGGGGTGATGCCTTTTATATACATGAGATTTATGAAAAATGAGGTCCCCTGCAGTGAGATGCAAAAATGATGAGCTCCATTCCAGAGCATCTGGGCCTGAGGATTCAAGCAGCTTCTGTCCTAGAAAGAAACAGGCGGCTGGATCCAGGAACAGGCTTTGGGACCCAACTAATGTAGTCAAATCAGAAGGATGTAATACTAGAAGGGCAGGTGGCTCACTAATGCCCCACAGGATTAAAGTCCTGTTCACCATTCAGCTGCCCCTTATAAACACAGGACGCAGCGAGATGTCTCTCCCCTCCAGGCACTGCACTGAATAGCTCCTTCCAGCTTCCTCACAATTGCTGTGATCATCGTCTTTCCGTCTTACTCTCCCACTTCTTCATAAGCATCCCTGGTAATGAGATTACCCACACTGACTTGATAACATTCTAAGGAAATTCCACATCTCCCTAACAGTCAGCAATGACAACATAAAATCTCCAACCAAGCACATTCTAATTTGTTAAAAAAAAAAAAAATACCAAATACCTTTAACATTTTAGCAGATGTAGAGAGAAGCAGGTATGCAAATTTTTTAATAAAAAAAGAAATTGCTTTCCTAATTAGAAAAAGTTTTTAAAAAGCAATGTGTGGCAGTTCCAACCATTAGCAGTCACCATGCTAGCCCCTGGGGACGTTTTGGCCAGATCATTCGAGAAAGTGCCCCAATCAGAACTGGGAATCTGATGAAGATGATGAATAGAAACCCAGTATTTGCCACCAGGGAATTTTAACAGGGCTGTCATGATGACATCATTATTACTCCAAAGAATGGGTACCTGGGGCACTACTCCCTCTCCCCACCCTGACAAAAGCATTACCCCGTGCAATAGGCACTTCACCCTCCCTGGTCATTCATGCCATGCCCCCTCCTAACTTCCTCACCCTCCCCTCAGTCAGATCGTGGCAGACCTATGCACTGGGCAGGGGCTCGACGGAGCATCTATGGCATGTTGCTATCCATGGCTACTAAGGTCAACCTCCTCTGGCTTGTCATTAGAAAAGAGAGGAAGGGACATTTGGCCAGGGAAGCATATTTTTAGGCTTTCATGCCTTTAGGATACTCGACACAACATCTCAAAGGAAACTGGTCCCAGCACAGATCCTAATGGTATCTCCTGGCATCATCACAAACCCTGGAATGATAAACAGTAGATTTCTGAATGCCAGACACTGTGATATGTATTTTACATCTATTTTATTGTTTAGTAATAAATTCAGAGTTGGGCATTTGTGTTGTATCTTACAGATGAGTAAAATCGTTCAGAAAACCTTTGGCATTTCACCCAAGTTCATGTCGCTTATCACAGCCCAGCCAGGAGAGGATCCAAGTCTTCCCTGACTTTAATACTCATGAAAGAATGGCTTACTCATTCTATCCCTTTCCAATAGAGCTGGGAGAAAGCAAGTGAGGGCAAGAAGGGAAACCATGACATTTTAAAACCTTTTTCCCATGCTCCTCACAACCCCATGCTACTCATAAGCACAGGGCAAATTCCTGTATCTCTTAATGAAGCCCTGATTATGGCATTGATAACCAATTTGTACATTCAACCTGGGCCGCACTTACTGTGAAGCCTGTAGATATGTCACAATATTGTCATGTGTGTCCAGGAGCTCACCTCCCCCTATGGCTTTCCCAGCACAAATCCTGCCTGCCCCAGCAATTCCTGTCCTTTGGGGAGTGTCTCGACCTTGGTCCTGACTTTGCCTCACGTGACTGAAAGCTTGAATCAGTGACTGTCATTCCGGAAGCACAGGCACATGACTGCTGACAGAGTGATGGATACACTGGGAAGCCAACAGCAAACTACTGGTGTGTTTCACAAGCTCCTACAGAAACGTTCATTCCTACCGAGCTCATGACTAGCAGTTGGGGTTAGCAGGTCCTGGTTGCTTGCCCACAGGTTGTTGAAAGGAACTTAGCCTGTAGACCGTAAGGTCAGTGAAGGGATAATGACTAGCTCCTGTATCTTCTCAGGTCAGTTTCACTCCTAGGCATGAAGCCCTTCTTTCCCTGAGCAGACCTAAAGCTTTCTTGCTAGATCTCAAAATAAGCCACAACATTTCTGTCTTCCCTCCATATAATCAACTCCCAGAAAATCAACTCCCAGACAATCAACTCCACCATGAGTTATTTATGCTGTGGCTGACCATTCACTCATCTCAAAACTCTGATGGAGCGTGGGGTACTACAGGCCAGCCCTCTGCTAGGCACTGGTACCCAGAAGTAAGACGAACAAAGCTCTTGGTCCCTAAGGGTTCACAGCTTCTTGTAGTTGTCCTCCCCTCCTTCTGAACTCTCTGCCCCTCCCTTTCCAGCAGGGTGGGCAGGAATGGGATATGACAAGCCCCACATCCTGGTAGTTTAGCCCTAGAGTTATCACCCTGGCTAAAAGCTGAGCCATAAAAAAGTTGGAGTTACTGTCTAAAAGGAGATACTTGCTTATCTGTTTTATTTATCTGTGTCCTCCACAAATCTCCCACCCTTGCTGTGACCACAGGGAACTGAGATTTGGCTGTAATTGCTGCTCAATCACACACCATTAACTTCCCACTTAAGCTCACTTATACCAAGTACATATTTTATCCTCTCACCCACGCAGCCAACACACTAGAGCCCACAAATCATCTGTGTGCACTTTGGAAATTTTTCAATTATTTTTAATCAGCTCAAAACAGTCTGGTCCCAACATAAGAGCTGCCCAGACTCACCAGGTGCCAGGAGCTCAAGGCACCCAGGGAGTAAGGTACATAACAGATCCCTTACCTGCCACGACAATATATTCCTAGCCATCTTTCTTTCATGGGGTGCATCAGCACCAGGAGCAGGCTTCAAGCTATCTTTTAAATGACTGAAGAGGATGTCAAAGTAGATGTTGAATATAGCACTGAGGGGAGCAACAGTATTTAATTTGGGACTTTTTCTATTTAGGGGTGGACTTTTACCTCCATTGGGTGTTGTCACTCACCAAGCTCCCTTTGGTGTGTGTCTCACCACAACACAGCCAGGAAACTGCAAAAAGAGAGACAGATGGTGGGAAAATAAACAGTCTGTGCTTTCTCTAAGCTAAAATTACCTGTTGCTTATCTAATAATAATAATCATCTGCTGCAATTTTTCCAACCCTCAGATAAATCAGATTTAAAATGTTGATGTGTCACAACATCCGATTAGCCGCTGAGGCATAAATTACAGAGCAGAGCTAAGCAAGGTAGGAGAGAAATGACTAGGATGAACAATGGTACCCCAGAAAAGGCTGAGTAAACAAATGTTGTTAAGAAAACCCTTTTCTCATGTAGGGCCACATCACAGTCTCATCAATGATAGTTCCCTACTGAAGCCCCTGAAAACCTGGTTTCTTCTCCCAAAGGAGGAATTTGAAGCTATAAGGGCATAGGCATAAAATGGGAATGGATCCCTGAACATCTGGTACAATGTTTGACCCATGATAGACCCTCTGCAAATATTTGTTGGATGGATGGATGGATGGATGGATTGAATTACATGGCTTATGACGTACTCAATTCATGCAATAATGAGCAGTGATATACCAAGATCCTATACTACTTTTCAGTTTTTTTTCCCATTTCCTTATACCTCTATTCTGGGTATTCTTTATGTCTCGCTCTCTACCTAGATGAATTTCCCCTTCCTAACATGCCAGTCCCTACCTTGCTTAAAAGCCTGACATCATCTGGCCCCTGCCAATCTTTCTAGGATCACCTCCTCTTCTTCCCCACACTCTCAGCTCCAAGTACACTGAAGTCCTTGCATGAGCATGCCTAGTTCTCACTTCCCCGTGTCCGTGTATGTACAGATTTCTCCGTATGAAATGCTTTTCCTTGCCTTTCATCCCTTTTCACACTCTATCAGCAGAACACTTTGTTAACTTCTACCCACCCTCCCAGACGCATGACTTAAATTCTCAGGTGGTGGCTGGTCTTCCTCCAATATCATTACACCAATGACTCAATCATGGCACTCTCCACACTATATGAGAGTGGTTTGTTCACTTACCTGTCTTCCTCTCTAGACTGGGCTGTCCTTGAGAGTAGGGACTCTGGCTTTGCTCTCTGAATTTCCAGCTGTCATTGTGTTTGGCTCATGGTAGGTACTCGGTAACTATGAATGAATAAGTGAATGCCACGGGGAGATGTTTGTCCTGCAAGAGTGATGGCCAGTCATTAATATTTTCTTTTCTCCTCCAGGTTTCTGATTCATCAAATCCATTTCTTAATCGAATGCTCAACAGAGATACTATCACAAGAATAACATATAAAAGTAAGTTTGGTTCAATTTCCTCTACAGCAACTATTCTATAAAGGTTAGACCTGCCTGAAGGCAGGAAGCCAGAACTGATGATCTCCATGGGCCCTTTTCAGTTTCATGATCCTGCAATTCTGTTGAAAGTCACTCTGGAGAGTAGGGTTTGGCTAAGAAGCAGCTCATTTCAAGCAGAAGTCCCTAGTCATCCATGCCTAAGGCGATAATGATTATGATTATGGTGGTCATCTTTATCCCACAGATTGGTAATGAGCCAGGGGACTCTGCTGGCTGATACGCTCCACCATGTCAGCTGGCCACAGTTGGGGCTTTGCCAATGATGGGATTGAGAAAGCACTCATCAGGTACTATGGATCCGATCGCAACACTTACAGAAGTCCTCAGCTAGACCAGTTCTGTGTGTGTGGCTGGGTCTCCTTTCCAGGCAGAGATAGGATGGCATCTCTCTTTATCCACATGTGTGGCCCATGGATGTAGAGGACTTTGTCCAGTTTCCTTGGGTTTCCAGAGTGTTTTATCCCCAGACTCCTTACACAGAAGAGAGAACAGTGCAAAGTTGAAGGAGGAAGGAAAAAGATGCTGCTGTCATCCCCAGCAATCCCAGAAGGTGCAGGATTTGGGAAAAGTTGGGTGAGATGGCACACACCAATAGATGAAAGAAATAATATGAGGATAAAAAGATTGTCTCTACCTAGTTAGGAGTGAGCAGGATACCGGGATTCAAGTCTTGGCTTTGTCCTTTATCAAGGAGTTTCCTCACTTTGACTGTCATTCATCTTGTAAAGTAAAAAAGCTGAACTTCAAGTTTCTAAAGTCCTTCTAGGTCTGGGATTCTGAATCAAGCAATAGGTAAATAATGATTCTCACAAAAGTGAAAAACAGTTGGCAAACATCCCAGCACCCCACATCCCCTTGGTGTGCCCTTCACCAAGCCAGGAGCTCAGCTGTGTCTGCTGCTTCTATCTCCAATGGCAATGTGGAAAAAAAAAAAAAAAAAGAATGTGTACAGATCTCATCTTGGACTGCCAAGGGAGAGTATGGAGAATCCTTCACTCAGCCGTTTACTCACTTATCCGACACACATTTCCTGCATGCCTTCCACATGACAGACACCAAGTGAGGCTCCAGGGATGGAAAGATGGCCCAGACAGCAGCCCTACAACTACCAGGTGCTCACCGCCAAGTCCCTCCCATCTGCAGAGGCTGGTAGGGCTGAGGAATGAACCTGGAGAATCCCACTCCACCTAGACAGACATTTCCCAGAAGAATGAATTAAGTTGTCTCCAAGCATATTCTGCCTTTTCTCATTAGTATTCTTGTGGAGTCCTCTCTAAGCACACACTTAGATTGCTCAGCTAAGGGAGATATTTCTGTCTTGTGTGTAAATAGCACATTTATAACTGCCCATAAAAGATTATTATTCTTTTAACTTTTTTGATTAAAAAAGCATGAAAATTAAATAAAATGTTTTCAAATAATCTTGGATTTGCAATTTAGAGACCGTGAAAATGCATGAAATCACACATTAAGCCCCAACACACAGTCTAACAGATTGCCAGTTGCAGAGTAAATCATTAGAGGGACTTTCCTCCCCACCCCACCATCCCGCCCCCAGCACTGGTCTGATTAATATTAAATGATGTGGCTTGGGCCACCAAGGGAGGAGCAAGAGTGGGGAGGGAGTGGAAGGGGAGGCAGGGAAGAAGGGAAAGACAGATGGAAGGAAGGAAAGGAAGAAAGGGAGGGAGGGAAGGAAAAGCATTCCAAGTGTGGAGAGCTACATGCACAAAACCTGGAGAGTACTGAAGGCCAGTGAAGAGTTCAGAGGGAGGAACTCTGTCTTCATCAGCTCTTCGTCTCAGTGCCTAAGACGAGGCACACCCAATAAGCACTGGTGATGGCCTGGGTGAATAGAAGGGTGAATGGCCTCTTTCAGGAGCTGTGACGGGGCAGAGGGAGTGGCAAGAAAGATGTTCTGGAGCCAGATCTTGAGCCATGTTAAGGTGTTTATGCAGAAGGCAGGCAGACATTTAAACACCCTTACCACCTCTGAAGACACATTCCTAGAAATACAAATAGAAGACAGCAGGAGCACCCCCGCTTGTGATCCCCATACTCTATACCTCTCAGGGCCCAGGGAAAAGAAAGGGGAGCCAAAGCAAGATAAAGAGATCCTGGCCTGCATGGGGAAAGGTAGTTGATTTAGGCCCCCTAATAACCCTAATAACAGGAATTTTGAGCTCCTATAATCCAGCAGGGAGTAATGGAGGTGTCCTCTGTAGTGACCTTTGTCACATACCTGAAGGGAGCAGCACTGCAGGGATAATGATGGCCGATTCATGGGAATGACCTCAACACTGCTTTGCCCAGGACACTGTGGCAGAAAGGGATTGATTTGCACAGCAGAAAACCACAGCTCTCTTTTGTCCCTACGGCAGCCAGAAAGTTGGCCCAGTGGCAGGCAGGGGAGTCTGGAACAGGAGTCATTCACTAGAACACAGCCAGTGGGTGGGAAACACAAGACTGGAAGTCTCTCCCGAGGCTCTCCAACAGGCAGCAGGTTAGGCCAGCACTGGCCCATAAATTCAGGTTATGATGAAGACAACTCAGGCGGCCCCATCAGGGTATCCTGCTTCTGTCCTTCTAAGTGTTCGAGAGACAGAAATCAACCCCCCACCCCACCATTTCTACCATGCTACTGAAGGACACCTAACCTCCACCCCTGCCCTTTCTACTGCTGCTACCCAGAACTTCACACCAGCATAGCTTCAATTTGCTCTGCTCATTTAGATGTAGTATCCACTCTGCAAGGTGCTGAGCCACAGGATTATGGAGATGATGCTTACTGAGCACTTTCCACACACCAAGGTCTATGCTTTACATGCAGGCCCCTTACCTAGTGCTAATGAAGTCCTTCAGAGTGGTATGATTGCCATCCCCAGTTTACAGATGGGAAAAATCAAGGCTTCAAGAGGTGAAGTCATTTGACCAATGACACACATTTAATGGCTGTATCAGTCAGCAACTTCTGCGTAATAAACAAGCATTCAATAAGCATTGATTTCTTATTGCTGCCTCTGTGGGTTGGTAGGGGTGGCTCTGCTTCCAGTTACAGGTCTGCGAGTGAGCTGAAGCAGCTCAGCTCCACATGGCTCTCATTTTTCTAGGATCGAGATGATATCCAGGGCAAGTAGTTCTCATGGTAGAGGGAAGAAATAAGTGATGTGACTTAAGGCCTAGTCATGAAACTCACACATTCACTCTGTCCACTTCCACAAGCCAAAGCAAGCCATATGGCCAAGCTCAACATGAAAATCCTCCCAAGGAGATGAAGATGAGGAAGAAGTGAACATTTCCTGAAAAATACTCTATTCTTCCATGGTGGAAGAGCAAGGATCCAAATACGGGTCTTCCTGGGTACTGTTTCCTCTGCTTTTCCTTCCTATCATGCTTTCTCCCTGAGGAGGAAGGAAAGCTTAGGTCCAGGGTCTTAAAACTAATTGCAATGAAGATACTTTCACATTCCATGAAACTTATTAGTACGTTTCTCTTAATTCCAACTTTGGTTCAGTTTGAAGAAGCATCTTTTTGCTGTTTGCATGTGCCTCCACTTGAAAGGGACATATACTAACCACAGAACTGATGGGAACTTTGGCAGTTCAAGTCCATCCTGACCTAAGTTCTCTCCAACTCCTGCCTGGCATGGTACCTCCAGTGGAAATCAGTCATTCAGAGGGACACAGTGACATTGCCATTATTGCCATAGTTACCAGAGAAGGCACAGAGATTAATTCTAGAAGGGATCGGTCTTCTGCAAATCTGCCCTTTGAAGGTCATTGTAACAAAAAGCCAATCTAGGAATTTAAGCAGAGTGACATAATCTGCTGACAAAAGGATTGCCTCAATGCTTGGTTGAGAATAGACTACAAGGGGTAGAGTCAACAATAGAAGAGGATTGCAGCAACCCAAATGATGAGACGATGGCACTCACCATGACCAGGCTGATGGGGATTGGCAGGGAGATGGTGAGAAATAATTGGGTATATTTTAAAGAAAAACCCAAGAGACCAGGCACAGTGGCTCACACCTGTAATCCGAGCATTTTGGGAGGCCGAGGCAGGTGGATCACGAGGTCAGGAGTTCGAGACCAGCCTGACCCCATCAGGTCAGGTCAGTAGAGATGGTGAGACCCCACCTCTACTAAAAATACAAAAAGTAGCTGGGCATAGTGGCACGCACCTATAATTCCAGCTACTCGGGAGGCTGAGGCAGGAGAATCACTTGAACCTGGGAGGCGAAGGTTGCAGTGAGCTGAGATCACACCATTGCACTCCAGCCTGGGCAACAAAGCAAGACTCTGTCTCAAAAAAAAAAAAAAAAAGCCAAGAAGTGTACTGATATATCTGATAATACGTCTGATGTTTTATGTGAGAGAAAGGGGAGTGAGGGATGACTGTAAGGCTTTTAGCCTGAGCAACTGCAAGGAAGACATTTTCATCCACTGAGATGGGGAGACTGTAGATGAAGCATATTCGTGGGTGGGGAGGAAATCAGAAGTTTTGAACATGTTCAGCTTGAGATGTTTATAAGGTACCCACGAAGTGGTGTGGAGTAGGCAGTTGGATATATGAGTCTAGATTTCAGGAGGGAGAACTGGAGATATAAATGTGGAAGACGTTGGCATCCAGATGGCGTTTAAACGTTGGTGAAATCCTGGGAGTAAGAATAAATAGAGAAGAGAGGCGGGACATGTCCTCACTTTTGAAAGAGCAACTCAAATCTCCATGACTTAGGATTGAAAATCACTTCTAAAGATATCTTTAAAATCCCACCCTGGAAGAGGCTCCCGCGTGGCTGCCTCATCGGCTCGCTGAGGTGGTGCAGGGAGCTGCTGCAGGCATGGAGGCACTGGGGTGAAATCACAACATGGCAGCTGGAAGAGACACAGTCCATTTGCCCAGTTTGTAGGATTGGGCACAGAATGAATGACCAGGAAAAAAAGGGGAACTGTGCAAAATCATTCTTTTGAGTCAGTTAAAAAAAAAAAAAATCAATGCCAGGAAATTCATACAAGGAGTAAAGAGGGAGAATCTCGCCAAGAGGATTGGGAATTTTGGAAGCTACATATTATGCTGGTAAAGGCACCACACCCATGGGAGGCAGTGTGTTCTAGTGAAGAGAGATCTGGGCTCCTATCCTGGCTCTACCACTTCCTTTTGTTGCCTGACTTCAAGCAACCTTCTAAACACCTCCCCCATCTGTAAGAGGAGGATATCAATGCTGATGCTGAGATGCTTGGCGTGAGAATCAAACAAGGTAATGAGTCAAATGCCTGAACAATGAGCGGTATAAACTAGGTGTACAATGAACGTGTATTTCTAAGTTGTCCTAAGGTACATGACTGTCAAATCCAGCTTCCTTCAGGGCAGGAGGCAGGTTGCTATGATGCCAAATAAAAATTATGTTGAAGGTAAATGCAATACAGGACACAGAGTCAACAGAATTTGCTTACTTTAAATGAAACACCACTCCTGTGCTTGAATCTATGCAGTGGATGGTAATGATTTAATGAGATTCTACTACTTTCCTTGCAAGCTTAGATTTCATATGTCTGAGTGAAACTTATAAAACACTCTAACTGGGACTGACAATGAAAAAAGCCAGCCTGAACTAAATTTGGGCTGAATTTAGAAAGTCTTCTAAAGAAAATCCATTTTATTAAAGTCAAATTCCCCTTCAACAGATTGGAGGTGAAGACTGAAATCATGACATTGAAAAATAGATTTTCTGAATGGATTTTCTGGAGGAGATACTGGTAATTTACTTGAAGTATTTTAATTTTTTAATGTAGTGTATACGAATAATACTAATATCTCTCATTTTTCTTGTGTTAATTAATTGGCATTAATTAACAGAATCCCAATTAAATAAAAGGTAGTATTCTTATTTTATCTACCCGATTTCATTAAGCTAGCATTATTTTTTAAAGAGATTTTATGCTATTTTCAAGTGGCTAAACTAGTGACCGATGGAGTGTAAAGAGGCTTCTTAAGTGGGTAAGAGGGAATAGTTATTAGAACACTGCATATAAAACACTTTCTTCCAACATCCTAGGACAGTATTATTTTAGTAGCTTCATTCTCCTTCAATGTCACATGCCCCATTCATTTCATGGGTAATAAATACAGTGGTGAGCTTTAGTCCAATAAGAATCCAAAAGATCACAAATTTCAAATTTAAAAAGGTATGGTGGCCAGGCGTGGTGACTCACGTTCATAATCCCAGCATTTTGGGAGGCAGAGATGGGCAGATCACCTGAAGTCAGGAGTTCGAGACCAGCGTGGCCACCATGGTGAAACCCTGTCTCTACCAAAAATACAAATATTAGCTGGGCATGGTGGCAGGCACCTATAATCCCAGCTACTTGGGAGGCTGAGGCAGGACAATCAGTGGAACCTGGGAGGTGGAGGT